GGCCTGTCTGTTGGACTGCTGTACATCCAGGGCCTCTGTGTCTGATTGGGCCTGTCTGTTGGACTGCTGTACATCCAGGGCCTCTGTGTCTGATTGGGCCTGTCTGTTGGACTGCTGTACTTCCAGGGCCTCTGTGTCTGATTGGGCCTGTCTGTTGGATGCCTTTCTCTTGCGGTTCCACACCAGGAAGTCCTCCAGCATATCTGTTAGTCTGATATATCCTCACGTTTGCTCCCACAGGTGACATTTAAGAATAATTCACTCCACATCAACTGATAGGTCTTTACTCTTCCCATTAATTACAAATGAGTTTGTGTGAGAGGGGGGTGATTCTGTGGCCCTCTGGCAGCCTGAATCTCTGTCACCTGTTATGTGTTCATGTCCCCCCCTGCCTCTGAGCTGACCCCCCTCCCGCTGTGTGTGTCTGGCAGACGGTGAATCACCTGGCCCACGCCCTGCACCAGGATGAGCACCTGGATGCCGGCAGCATGGTCTCTGTCATGTGGCCTAAAGCCAAGTGCGCACTGCTGAGAGACGACCTTGTGCTAATGGACAGGTCAGCCCCCCCCCAGCTCCGTCATTTCATTTTCATGTTTTTTTTTCCAAAGCTACATACACATGACAGCTGTGATTCAGAAACTGGGCTCACCTTTTTCCGCTGCTCAGTTCTTTTTTTTTTTTATTTATTTCTGCTTCCTCGTGGGATTTGTTCCTATACCCATATGGCAGATGTCCCTAATCCACTGCCCTTGATATGTAGAACTAACATGCTATGGCTTAAAGTTATGTATGTTCTTGACTTTGTGATAGTTAACGGTGTGGTTGACACGACCTCGTTCCTGTCGTTCTCCAGTCCCGGCATCGACGTCACCACCGAGCTGGACAGCTGGATCGACAAGTTCTGCTTGGATGCCGACGTGTTCGTCCTGGTGGCCAACTCTGAGTCCACGCTGATGCAGACGGTGAGCCCACCCCCCACCCCCCACCCCCTCCAGCATCAGGCCCCCAGCTCTGTCTGACATGCACGCACTCGTTGTCTTATAGGAGAAGTCGTTTTTCCACAAAGTGAATGAACGCCTCTCCCGGCCCAACATCTTCGTCCTGAACAACCGCTGGGACGCGTCAGCCTCCGAGCAGGAGTACATGGAGGAGGTACGCTGGCTCCCTGTCGCTACCACCCACCTACGTTGGGTCTTGTCTGTCCTTCACATCCTAGCTAGTGTCGTTTCACTTGAAGCTATTTAGCAGGGCCTGCTTATGCACCCAGTATCTAATGCTGAACAAAGGGCATGTCTAAAATGGCATACCTTCTCAGTATGTACTGAATTTGATTAGAAGCCTACTACTGGTTTGTCAGTATGTAGTATGTACTGTATGTATGCATGAGAGCAGTATGCATGCATTCAGACACACTGCGGTCACCATCTTAAATATTACCTGGTTCTTGGATATTACCTGGATACCGTCGACCTGGATGTTTACCAAGGTCACAAAAGTTAAAAACTGTTAAACTATCAGTGGAAAAAATACATTTTTGAGTCGACTTGTGTAACTGGCCTTTGTTTTAGTACTTAGAGCAAGTGCCCTCTGTACTAATTTATCATCTTGATAATAATTTCTGACTGCAACATCACTGGTTGCGGCTCTAGGGGCCTTACGGGATAGAATAGCATCCATTGGTTACACGCTTCATAATCCCACCCACTGTCCACAATTGGCTGACATAATCCCACCCACTGTCCTCGATTGGCTGATATTATGTGACGCCGTGAGGTTGGCCAGCAGGACTAATTATGCAGTTATTGACATGCTTTGCACCACATTATGCGTGTCTTTAAATAGTGTAAATTAATGCGTATCTGTGTTAATTGTAAATATCGTAATTGTATATTGCGTGTGTGGTTGGTGCGTGTAAATTTCGCCTTCCCCGTCTGTGGTGTTGCTAGTAGGCTGTTAATGGAGTGACCTTTCAATTTAAAGGCTGTTAACTTGCTTATTGAAATTATTCAGCCACTTGCCGCAATGTTTTTCTTGTATTTTATGTGGGTTTGCTGCGTCGAAAACATTCTTTTGTTTTTTTATGCAGTGTTTGCTGTTTAAACACTTTCCTGTGGTTGCTTTTTATCTGGTTCTTGTATGTTCCTTTGAAATGTTATTATTTTTCTTTATAAAGGTAAGATTTGGTATTCCGAAATCCTTTTTCCAAAAACAGCTGCTGTAAAAGGGGTGGGGGGTTGTTTTATAATTGGAGTCATCTTACGTTCAGGCCAATACAGTATATTTCTCCTGCTACAAATAAGTCTGTGATTTGGGACGCGCCCATTGAGACAGACTGCCAGCCCTGGCTCTAAAGTGCCGACGTTCATATGATCTAATCCGCCCTCTGCGAGACAGAGCACTTCTGTGTTTCTCCCACGCTCCCTGACTGTAGTTTGCTGACTGGGGGGGTGGTGTCTGTGGGGTGGGGGGGCTGCAGGGACTTAAGCTCTCAGTCACAGGCCCAGAAACAGAGTGATTTGCTTAAAGGAGCCGGCCGCTTCAGTGCCTCGCTGGAATGGCGGGACTCTGGACGTCGCAGTCCGAGTGTTCAGTCAGTCTGGTGTCGACGCGCGTCTGTGTGTGCTGGTGCGCGCCTGAGGTGTGTTCAGACACTTGACTGCGTTTCAGAGAGATGCGTGTCGGACATACAAAGAGATCTGGTGGGTGGAGTTTGCTGACGGTCCCCTGGTACAGGAGCCTGCGACCCGCGTGGCTCGGTTTCGGCGTCCCTGCAGACCGCGGCCGCCTCGCATGTCCCCGCGAGCTGCATCTTCTCATTTTAAAAGTTAGTGGCACGGCTCCCCCTGCAGGTCAGGCGGCAGCACATGGACCGCTGCACCAGCTTCCTGGTAGACGAGCTGGGAGTGGTGGACCGCGGCCAGGCCAGCGACCGCATCTTCTTCGTGTCGGCGAAGGAGGTGCTGCAAGCGCGGATCCAGAAGGCCCAGGGCATGCCGGAAGCAGGTACCCCGCCGCCAAAGTTTGAGTAACCGTTTGAGTAATTTGGCGCTACGCTAATCAAGGTGTCCCTTAGTGCTGGAGCTTTAATATTGAGTTTTGTGTACATGTGTGTCCTGCGATGGACTGCCATCCGATCCAGGGTGTCCCCCCTGACCCCCATCCCCCCCCCCGTTCCCTGGGATTAGCTCCAGGCTGACATAGTAACCCAGTGCTGCATTAGCGGTTATGGAAACTGCATGACTGGCTGTATCTCTGGTTAAGGAACTAAGTTGAATGCCCCAGTTGCTGGCATGCATATTTTGTAGGGTGTGGACACATAACGACTGAGTTTCCAGTAAATGTGTTTGTGTGCAGGAGGGGCTCTCGCTGAAGGCTTTCAGGCACGGATGTTCGAGTTCCAGAATTTCGAGAGGCGGTTTGAGGTCAGTAGGCTGAGACCCGGCCGTGAGGGGTGGAGTAGGGGGGGTCCGAAGGCCGGGAGACCCTCAGCTGACGTGACGTCCTGTGTTGGGCTGTCTATGGCAGGAGTGCATCTCGCAGTCGGCAGTGAAGACCAAATTCGAGCAGCACACGGTGCGGGCCAAGCAGATCTCCGAGACTCTGCGCCTCATCATGGACTCGGTGCACGTGGCAGCACAGGAGCAGAGGTGGGTGGCTGGATGGACGACGTCTGCTGACTAAATACTGTGCACTTACATATTTGTCTTGGCACAATGCTTACAATCTACACAAGAGTTCAGAAGACAACAGTGAAACACAAAACATCTCATTCATCAGTTGACATACAATGAGGTTAAATAAGCTACACATGTGGTTGCCATAGGGCCTGTTCAGCAGGTAACGGGGAAACCCCAGGAGTAATTAGGGAGTACTTTAAGATTGACAGCTATGTAAACGTCTGGAGTACTTTATGTTATAAAGTACTGGCCTGTTTTTATAACCTTAATCTAAAATTGCCACTTAGCCTAGGAATGGGATTGTTTTGTACTACAATAAACAAAGATGAAAAGTGTGTGTTTGTGTGTGTGTGTGTGTGTGTGTGTGTGTGTGTGTGTGTGTGTAGGATTCACTGCCTGGAGACCAAAGAGGAGCGCCAGGACCGGGTGGAGTTCATCGAGAAGCAGCTAGACCTTCTCACACTGGACTGCAAGAACAAGATCAGGTGCATCACAGAGGAGGTGGAGAAGCAGGTGAGGCGACTCTGTCGTCCAAAGCGGCTGGAGCGTGCGAGTGACATGGCCACACGGGGGCGCTGCTGCAAAGAGCGCGCTCAAGAGTGCCTGTGTGCGAATGCTAAGTGTTGATGGATGGATCCTGCCTCCTTGCTCTAAAACCAAGCCCCTTTTGACCTCCCTCTCTTTCCGACACTCCAAAGGTGTCTAACGCCATGGCAGAAGAGATCAGGCGTCTCTTTGTGCTGGTGGATGAGTTCCACATGGACTTCCACCCCTCCCAGGTGGTGCTGAAGGTGTATAAGAATGTAAGTACCCCATCTTCCAGTGCCATCCAATATGGGCAGCTTTAGATGCCATTTTTGCGGAAGGGAACTGAGGGGCTTTCAGATTCCATGTGTTTTGACTGGCTGGTGTTTGCCTCCAGCTGTGGAATTCCTGCCTGATGTCCTTTTTAAACACAAGCAGAGTGCATTTCAGTCTGTGTGCGTAGCAGGTATGTGCAGGTATGCTTGCAGTTTTCCAGAAGCTTCTCCCTTCCTGCAGGAGCTTCACAGGCACATTGAGGAGGGCCTGGGCCGGAATATGTCGGAGAGGTGCTCTTCTGCCATCAGCTCCGCCTTGCAGACGACACAGAGCGAGATGATAGGTCGGTCTGCCTGCAGGGGGCGGGGTGCTAATATGCTGCTTTCTGATTGGTTCTGTCGGGGTCGGTGTGTAATCTTGTGAAGTTTATATGGTATCTGTAATGGGCGGAGTCAACTAGCTGCTTGGTTTAGGAGTAGGGTGGATATGAAGCGGACTGCCATTAGCACGTAATATTGGCCCGAGGTGTTTTAAGCAATGGCCTTGATGTACAGACGACACCGGTGCTGCCGATCTGACCGCGCCTCTCGCTCCCCAGAGGGTCTGAAGCCTCTGCTGCCCCTGGTGGCCAGGGAGCAGGTGGACAAGCTGGTGCCCCGACAGTGCTTCAGCCTGAGCTACGACCTCAACTGCGACAAGCTGTGCAGCGACTTCCAGGAGGACATCGGCTTCCACTTCTCCCTGGGCTGGACCATGCTTGTCAACCGCTTTCTGGGGCCCAAGAACACGCGCCGTGCCCTCATGGGGTATAACGACCAGGTACGAGTTCTACCCCCTAGAGCAGGGGTAGGCAGCCCTGACCCGGAGTGCCGGTGTCCAGCTGGTTTTCCATCCCACCTGGTCTCTGATGAACCACACCAGGCAGATAGTAACTCATCCCATAGGATAGAAAATCATTCCATCAACTAATAATCCTACCCCCCCCCCCCCCCCCCCACAGGTACCTCGCCCCCTGGCAATCACCCCTGTTAGTACTAGCATGCCCCCCTACCCCCAAGGCTCCATGACCCAGGAGGAGCTCATGGTCTCCATGGTGACAGGCTTGGCATCCCTCACCTCCAGGACGTCCATGGGCATCATCGTCGTTGGGGGCGTGGTAAGACAAGCGTCCTGCCCCACCATGTCCATAACGCAGTGACTTCCACTGGGGGTGGGACCCGGCTCCCCTGACACACCTGTCCCCCCCTCCCTGCCGCAGATCTGGAAGGCAGTGGGCTGGCGGCTGATCGCCCTCTCTGTCGGCCTGTATGGTCTGCTTTACGTCTACGAGCGCCTCACCTGGACCACCAAGGCGAAGGAGCGCGCCTTCAAGCGCCAGTTCGTGGACTACGCCAGCGAGAAGCTCCAGCTGATAGTCAGCTACACTGGCTCCAATTGCAGCCACCAGGTCCAGCAGTGAGTATATCTCCGCACTGCACTGCACTGCACTGCCTGCGTTAGCTGCCAGGCTTTGGCAAACTGAAGTTCTTTAAGTTCTGTTGCATGATTGCTCAGATGCACTGGGAGATGCGGTCAGAAAACCTTCAACATTTCTGTATTACTATGAATTCCTGCTAGAAGGAATCCTCAGTACTTTTTCCCCAGAGTGTTGATATTTATTATTTAATTTAATTTCTTTGTCATTTGACCTCATTGTACTGTGTACACACAGTACTCTTCCAATAAAATGTTAAAAAATACCATATTCGTCTAAAATGATCATTCGGTTTCAGTAATACTTTAGAAATCTGCAGTAATAAAATAGTTCCCAGAAATAAATGGACAATGATTTATTAATAATGGGGGGAAAAGGAATTTAAAAGTACTTGGGCTGCTTCTGATGGCTAAATGAAGCTTAATTAACCACTTCCTGTATCTTTTTACCCCACTAGATGGTGCTCTTTCAAAGCTTTGGCGCAAACTTTAGTACTTTTATTTTTTTTTTCCCAGGTGGGGTCAAAAAATACAGGAAGTGGTTCATGAAGCTTCATTTAACCATCAGTACTAGAAGCCTGTGACTTGCATCTGATGGCATTTCTCTGTCTGTCTCTGTCTGTCTGTCTCCTGTCTGTCTGTCTGTCTCTGTGTTCTGCAGGGAGCTGGCGGGCACCTTCGCTCAGCTCTGCCAGCAGGTTGACGTGACCCGGCAGAACCTGGAAGATGAGATAAAGGACTTGAACAGGAAGATTGAGCTGCTGGATGCCCTGCAGAGCAAGGCCAAGCTGCTGCGGTAAGGGCTGCTAATGGAAGCCTGCCTCCCCAACGCCCCCCCGTTAAACCTCTCAAGGTCCCCCCCTACCCTAAGCCTTGTACAAAATGTGAGCTTTAGTATTAGCTGTGGCCCAACCCAGCCCTCGGGGGCCCACAGACTGTCCAGCAGGGAGCTGGGAGGGACTGTCCACATTTTTGCTCCCTGCCAGCTACCTAGGAGGCAGCAGAAACGTGAACTGTATGTGGGTCCCTGAAGACCAGGTTGGGAAGCAGAGCTGTGGTCATTTATTATGGAAGGAACTCCAAATGTCCTGTATATGATTGACCATATTTTAAAAATGCATTTGGATTTGTAACATGGGTGTATTGTACGGTGAGTTTATAGTAGTGTTAGGTTTGTGGTGACTATACCCTTTTATTAGGGGTGCAGGTACTGTTAGTGGCATAGTAAGTGGTCCCTGTAATTCTTGCATATATGTAGCAAAGAGGCTATGGATAATGTAGCTGACCTATGGGGCAGTGACTGACTGCTTTGAAATGAGACCTAAGGTGTCGTTTGACTCTGGCCACAGCTCCATCCTTCCCAAATAGGCGAAATGTGACTAGTGTGATACTGCTACTTCAGCGCCCTCTAGTGGATAGGTGTCGCGTGCAGGCACTGTTGCGCGCTAATCTTTCTCACCGTCTGCGTGCAATTTACAGTGCTGGTAGCTGCGTTACCCTACGCTGTAGCCTAACGTTCACGTTCCCATATTAATGACCTTTTCTTACTGTCCCTCTTCAGGAACAAAGCAGGCTGGCTGGACAGCGAGCTGAACATGTTTACCCAGCAGTACTTGCGGCAGGGGCGATAAGAGGACTAGTCAGCGGTCTCGGACCAGTTCGCATACTGCAAAGAAGGCTCTAGAAAGCACTTTTTATTGTTAATTTCCACCACACCCCCACTTCTGTAAATGTATAAATATTTGTTTTTGTCATCATTTGAAGGATAATACATTTTATCCATGCCTTTTAGAGGAAAATATTAATATACCAAATACAATTCAGTGTGGTATTAATTTCTCAAGAAAATGCTTTTTCTCTGCCAGTTTCGTTACGTATAAAGATGCCTTTTAAGCTGTAATAGGCTGATGGAAGAATCAGCATAGATGTAAATACATTTTTTGTTGTAAAACTTTAAACATGATTTGAAATTTACAGCTGTAGTTGTAAAGTTTATAATTTATAATTACTTTTTTCATGTCACTTGAAAATATTAAGTCTTGCTATTAGACTGCACTGATATTAAATATACCTGCATGCAGAATTGCGTTTTTTTTCCCTTTTTTTTTTTTTTTTTTTTTAAAGATGTATCCTTACCCTGTATTGCGGAGATGATCGCTTGATTGAGCATTTTAAGGAACATTTGGCGTCGATTTGTTTGAGATCAGTGCACGTCTTAAGATGGTAGTGAAGTCGGAGACAACACGCATTGGAAACGTCAATGCGCGATTTGTACAAGCGGCGTCCGCCCTCGTGTCACGTCCATTGACATTAGTACAGCGTGTTTGCATTGGTTACGTGTTACAGCGGTAGCGCTTCGGTCATGTACGTAGCAAGGTAGCCTGGGTAGCTTGTTCATTGTCGGATTGTCAGCCTTATCGGGCAGTCGCTTTTTTTAAAAGACGGAAAGACATTAAGATGGTATTTAGAAGTAAAAGTTATGCATATGGAAAAAACATTTTCCATGGGAAAGGGCACCGTATTAATGAGCTTAGTCCAGCTAAATCTCTTTAAACCCCATGTTAAATTCCAAGTAAATCGGTCATAATATAAATGAATGGATGTTACACGATCACCACTGATGTGTAAAGGGCTGCAAAACGGGTTATCACGATTAATTTTTTTAACTATATATATTCGGTGAGCTATTGACAAATTACTGTTCTCTGTTTCAGGGAAATCCGAATAAAATTTGACTCAACGCTTTTTCCCCAAGACTTGCTAAATAGGTAGGCCTATAAAAATGGCCCGTTTCTGTAGCGTTCGTTTATAGTAAATCAACCTCAGCTCAAATATATTTAAGGCAGGTCTGTGGCACAAAGCTTCAAGCTGTTAAAGTGCAGTGGTGGCTGTTTTTTTCCCCTCTTAATGCATCGGTGGTCTGCACGAAGTGATTAAAATTCTCCCGAAACGTCTTCAAGATGAAAACGTGCATTAAGTGTTGATTGATGTATTTTTGCTTTTGGTAACTTTTCGCCAATCAATACCGAGTCTGTTCTGACCGAGTCACTGTCCATGTATGATTGTAACATGTATTCAGTAACCATTATAACCATTCAGTAACCCATTATAACCCATTGCCTTGTCATCCCAAACGTAAGGAAAACAATAAAGATTTAGAAACGGCAACTGGAAACTTGTGGTTCTTGATTTATTGTAAATACCCCAACCAGGTACTATTTACAGGTAGTCTTGTCTAAAAGCAACGCACTGAATGTAATTACTTCCTCCCAAAGTCCAAGACCCACATAGCCTAGTGGTTCTGAGTAAGCTGGTCCCGGTGTTCTGACGATTTGTCCTACTTTGTCGAAGTATCCTACCGTAGTTTATTTCGACAGATATATCTATCGATTGGTGCTACCTTATCGAAACATCCTACCTTTATTATACACATGGGTAG